TTCTGCAAACTATCCAGAAAAAATTAGTTGAATATAAAAAGAAGAGAACAGATGGCCATGGATGTCTCATATTTACTTTTTTAATGAAAAGAACTCTTGATTCTTTGACTCTTAGACCCCTTGTTTTTGCAAGGAAAATGATTTGTCTTAAGCACTTGTTAACCTTTATGTGCTTGCAACAAGCTATTAGTTCTTAAATTCTATGTTGTTTGATTTCTTCAAAATATCATCTTGGTGCATGTCGGATCTTCCAAATTTAGTGCATTTTTAAATCATCCGACACGGTGTGGACTCCTTATTTGGAGAGTCCAAGCAGCATAACTTCAAGATATTTACGGTTTCACAATTATGTTTAAGTATTTGTTTATCATAAGTTTGTATTTTACTCATTTCTTTAAACTTTTAATTTTTTTTTCAGGTGATATCAGAAATAATTGAAACCTGCCGATCTCATGATTTTACAGATGTAATTTTGGTCCATGAGAATCGTGGTGTGCCTGATGGTATTGTCATTAGTCATCTGCCTTTTGGTCCAACTGCTTACTTTGGATTGCTCAATGTGGTATGTGATCTTACTCTTACCCTGTTAAGCGCAGAAGTCTTCTGCTGTCTATGTGAGTTGTAAGATAATGTCCTCATCTACTATTTTCATACAGGTGACTAGACATGATATTAAGGACAAGAAATCTATGGGAACAATGTCTGAGGCGTATCCACATTTGATTTTTGACAAATTTTCAACTAAGGTAATCCCCGACATCCCTTTTTCGATGAAGAGTGTAACACATGCGTTTCAGTAGACTTGCTACTGACGCTGAGATTTTTGAAACTGAATGATCATTTTGCCAAAATCAGTTACTGGATGTTTAGATAATTCTTGATTATCTAAAGTCTTTGATTTTTTAGTGTAGCATCTAATATACTGTTCTATACTCACCTGGGATATTTTGATCATGCAGCTTGGTGAGAGGACAGTAAACATCCTAAAGCATTTGTTTCCTGTGCCCAAGCCTGATACAAAACGTATCCTCACATTTGCTAACCAGTCGGACTACATCTCATTCAGGTTTATTATTTTGTTCAGTATCATTAAGTTCTCTTCTCTAGTAATGGAGGTTGTTAGTTTTAATATTTAGTTTTACTCACGTACAAGGCATGCTGGGATTATGGCTCAGCAATATCTTTTCCCCGTTTGATCCTCGATCCACAGATTTCTCATTTTGGTAAATAGAAGCTATATAATCAGAATGAAGCTTGTCAACAATTGCGTTGGCATTAGCTATCCTTAAACAATTAGATTGAATAGTTGAACCAGTCCCTTGTTCGAAGAAACCCTCCACTTCAATCGGTATTTTTTTCATGAAAAGCATGCATGTGATAAGAAATCCAGTGTTTCACTAAGATTTCGAATAATCCTCTGGTGGAGGGTCCTTACCACTAGGCTAACCTTTGGTTGTCTTGTTAACTGAGAGAGGATAGTTTAAAACAGGTATAAATTTGATGGTTTACCGACTATGCAGCTCCCCCTCCCATTTCTTTATACTAAATTTGATTGAAACATGCAGACATCACGTCTATGAAAAGCATGGAGGTCCAAAATCAATTGAGCTGAAAGAGGTTGGCCCTCGATTTGAACTACGCCTTTACCAGGTAACAATAATTATACCAAGACACTAGTTCTTGAAAATGGGCTTTATTTAGTACTCTCTTTGTCATATGAATTCCGTGCTACGTTGTTAGGAATGTGTGATTGATTACCTTGATCCGTATTCTATCTGTTGCTGACATAGCTCATTCCTGATCGAGTTACTTGTTTTTAAATGTAGATCAAATTAGGAACGATGGATCAAGACGAAGCTCAAATCGAGTGGGTTATAAAGCCTTACATGAACACATCTAAAAAAAGAACCCTTCTAGGGGACTGATCAACATGCTACAGAATATGAACTCTGAATCCTCTGCCTCTGCCCATTTGCACTAACAGAAGTCGATCGTTGCTGGTAAGTCATCTATTCGATCATTCAAATGCAGACGTTTGTTCCAGAGAGATACTGTAAAATCTCTCTGTAGGTAAAGGAAGAGATTCGACAACTCTTTGTTTCGCGACAAATGACACAACCAAGCCTTGACTTCTCATAAAGGATTCGACAATTTTTTTTAAGTAGTGTTGGCTCCAACTCAATTTTATGTGCAAAAGAATGCTCCTTCCGTCTAGTTTGACTCAGCACGGAGTTTAAGAAAGGGAACTTTTAAAACTTGTGGTTCAAAATGAATGATAGTGTCTGTAAATCATATCATTAAGGATAAAATAGATATTTTATAGCTAAATTTTAACTTAATTTAGAAATGTGTCATTTTGTTTGGAACTAACTAAAAAAAGAAAGTAAGTCGTATAAATTGGAAAAGAGTGAGTACTTAATATGTATAAACTCCGTCTTTTAAGGATATATTGATTTTTTTTGAGTAATTAACTACTATATATCAAATTCCAATTAACTTGAGGATCGATCGTTTGTATGAATTATATTTTATTCAAATCATACAAAAAAAAAAACTTCAGGCACCTTTGTCCAAGGTTTAATTTAATTATCGTAACTCTTCGTATCAAGTCTGATATATTACGAGACCCAACTAGGAAACACCATGCAATTGGTTCTTTGAAAAGCAGATGCATTGCTAGACTTGAGTGGAACCCTTAGTCCACAACCAACAGTAAACTTGATCTTTCCCGTTGTGATCCAACCCGATTTTAGCCTCATCTGAACGTTAAACACCGTGTAAATATTAAAAGCTCCGTTTTTCTTCTCATCTTCGTAGTCCGATTTCTCTCTATCTCCAAGTTGAATATCGGTTTGACCCTTGATCTCTTGATGTAAAGTAGTCGTGTTCTTAGAATCCTGAGAGAACAATTCAAAGTTCGTTGTAGCAAATTTCTTTTGATGGAAATTCGATTTAGCTTCTAAGAGTTCATACTTGACACCAATTTTTTCATTGGAGTTTCTTATCTCGAAGTTTAGGTTAAGGTCATAATCGAGGGTAGTGGTTGATGGAGAGAAGTCGAATTTCGCCAATGAGGCATCTGATACATGGAAATAGACCTTATTGGGTCTCCAAATGAGCCAAATGGCTAGAATAAGGATGCTAAAGATGACAATAATCACACAAAGTATCTGAAAAATGCATGCACAAACACAACTAAAGATACAATTGCAACAACAAAATTTCCCCATGATGGGGTTTTTGCTTCTTCTTTTTTCGATTTAATAGTAATAAATTTCGATTGGAACGAACTTTTTTTTTTTGGTTCTAATACAGAAGAATCAAAATTGTAGGGAGGATGATTCTTCTGTATTTGTGTTGCTGCCTAGTTTCAAAGGTGGGGGTTAATGTGTTATATTATTTGATTTGTGAATTTATGAAAATAAATGGTTAAGAGGAAGTTGTGGAAATGCCAATAATTTTTAGTGTGGTTAAGGTTTAATACATGGTTGTTTCTATTTTAGTCAACTTTGTTTAAATTTAGTTTCTTGTTTAAATGGAGAATATTTGAGTCATAAGTATAGTTATAACTTGTTATATGATATTATTAATAGTATATAATACTCCCTCCGTCTGGAATTGTTTGTCGTATTGCGCTTATCGAAAGTCAATTTGACTAATTTTCAAAGGTAAATTGGATCACATTAATTCGATTTTCTTTTAAAAAAATAAATATTCTAAAACTATATGAAAAGTACTATAAATTACAATTTTTTGCATATTAATATGATTAAAAAAATACAGCTTAAATGTTTGTCAAAGTTTTTATAGTTTGACTTTAAAAATAGAAATCATGACAAACAATACCGGAAGGAGGGAGTAACACGTAGTAGGATATATATTGTAATTAGAGAAAATGCACAAGTACCCCCTGAACCTATGCTTTGAAATCCCAGAAACACACTTATACTATATTAAGGTCCTATTACCCCTGAACTTATTTTATAAGTAATTTTTTACCCATTTTCGGCATACGTGGTACTAGCTTGAAAAAGAAAGTCAATCAGCGTTGGGCCCACAAGATAGTGCCAAGTAGACCGAAAAAGGCTAGATAATTATTAATAAAATAAATTAAAGGGGGTAATAGGACCTTAGTATATTATAAGTGTGTCTCTGAGACTTTGGGCATAGGTTGAGGGGGTGCTTATACATTATTGGCATAATTAACATTATTGGCATAATTATATTTGGATAAATTGTCAATTCTTGTTTTGAATGTTTATGATATTCCTTAGTTGTTTATGTTCTTTATTTATGTATGCAAAGTCTAATTGAATTTTGACATGGTATTGTACTATTGTTTGGTAGTTTAGCTTCTTGAATTGTCATTCATTTAATTACTTCTAAAAAGTAATGTTGCATTTTTATGTTTATTGTTGTTTTGGTGGTTTAAAAGAGTGTTTTATCATTAATTTGTTAGGTAAGTAATGTGCTTTCTAACAATGGCGATTTTAAATTTACAAAAATTTGATTCGAAATTTCTGATTAAGAATGAAGTAGTATTTTCACTTCAACACAACCTTCTTTGATAAGAGTGTATACATGATATCGTAGCCCCATGATATATTAAGTCTTTCCAATGGGTTTAGGAGATAATTGTTCAAATATTTTATCAACATAGTGTTACCTAACCCTAATGAACTAAATATGCGATCGCATACACGGTAAAATCCTCCGGTTCCTATGCAATAGCTCGCAAATTACATAGAAAAGAAAATTCGCACTAGGCAAGTCTGGTGCAACGAACTCGACTCATATGCTTTTGCTAGCAAGAAGTTTCAAACTTGAGACGTCAAACATGGAAATCACAAGCTAAAATCACTGGATATCTCGAAGGATATGTTATCTAACGAATAACGATAGTTGAATGCCCTATCGCAAAAAAATACAAATTATTATATTTTCGAAAAAATGCTTTTAAAAATAAGTAATTTTAAACTAAACCTCCCCAAATTGGGCTTTACACACCCTAATATATATATACACTCACACAAAAATCGTTTCACATTCTTCCACTAATATTCAAACTGCTTTTCCCCTTTTTCTCTCAATTTTCCGTTCAGTCATGCCGGAGCCCCACTTGAACGGAGCTTATTACGGCCCTTCAATTCCACCGCCGTTAAAAACCTACCACCGTCCAGGCCACGGCGGCGGCGGCGGAGGCTGCTGTTGCAATCCATTCACCTGCTGTTGCAGCTGTATCTTCAACTGCATCTGCACTTGCATCTTCCAAATCCTCTGTACTCTCTTAATCATCATCGCCGTCGTCGGATTCATCCTCTGGTTCGTTCTCCGTCCAAACAAGGTAAATTTCCATATCTCCGATGCTTCATTAACTCAATTCGATTTCTCAACTAAAAACAACACTCTTCACTACGATCTACATCTCAACGTCTCGATTCGAAACCCTAATAAACGAATTGGGATTTACTATGATTCAATTGAAGCTAGGGCTATGTATCACGGCCAAAATTTCTCGATTGTGAAACCCGACCCGTTTTATCAGGGTCACAAAAACACTACCGATTTGAATTTGGTGTTTACGGGTCAGGATTCGGTTCAATTAGGATCCGAATATAATATTGAGAAGGATACTGGGGTTTATCAAATTGGATTAAGGCTTTATTTGAGGATTAGGTTTAAATTTATTTGGATTAAGACTAAGAAGATTAAGCCAATAATTAATTGTGATTTAAAAGTACCATTTAAAGGTAATGGTACTTTTAAGAGGACTCAATGTAATCTTGATTGGTAATTTTTTTGGTTTTATTATTTGTTGGATTATTGAGATATTATTATTCAATCCATTAGACAATATGGTATTATTATTATGATTATTATTATTACTATCATATTGTTTTTTTTAATGTTGTGACTAAATAATTTTTTTGTGTGTTGTGTTACTTTGTTTTTGAGCTTGCTTTTATAAACAAGCTATATTTTGTGTAATTTTACGAGTGGGGGTCTGAAGAGTATGATGTGTATATCGTTTTACTATTATCGTGATGTGAAAAGGAGTGATCGTTTTAATTAGGTTATAGCTTGTGTCCAAAGAACGAGAGTGGATTTCCAATATTGAAGGTCTGTTTGGATTGACTTTTAGCTTATGACTTACAAATAAAAAATTATAACTTATGATTTGTAATGTATGATTTTTGACTTATTTTTGTTATTTTGGCTTTAAAAATAAGTGCTTATAAACACTTTTTAACTTTATCTAAACATTTTAAAACGATTTAAAAGTTATTTTGGCTTAAAAACACCTAAAATAAGTCAATTCAAACGGATACTAACTTCGTTGTACTTTCTTAGCTTAATGGTGAAATTGTTAATTGATTAGTTGTAGGTTTAAATTCTATTTGGAGAGATTTTTTAGTTTTCATATAAAAAAAAGGGTATAAAATGAAAATATATCTCAAAAATGTATTATGTAGACAGTTTACTCGAATGCAAGTAATAGCGATTTGTTATTTTACTGTTATTACTTTTAAATAAAGAGTTTGTTTGAATTGATTTATTTTAAACTCTTTTAAGCCCAAACAACTTGAAAGCATTTTTATAATATAAAAAAGACATTTTAAAACACTTACTTTAAAGTAAAATATCAAAAGAAAACCAAAAAGTCATAAATTATTATTATTAATACAATAAATTAAAACGCCATTCAAATAGGCTCTTAGTTTTCACATACATAAAGGTCAAGTTACAATAATTCCGTTACATAAAAGTTTTGGAAAAAAAAGTTTTAGAATTAATATTTGGTTGTTTAAATATTTTGAATTTGAATTTTGCTAAATAAAATAATAAAAAAAAAAGAAGCTAAACTTCGTTTTCTAAAATTTATTTTATCATTATAAAATAAACAAAAAAATCGCACTTTTTTTGAAAATATGGTTTTAGGCCTCCAATTACGTTGAGCTGTCCTGATCCGCAATGGCTTCAAACCTAGAAGTAGAAGGGATGTAGTTTTGACGGAGGTTCATTGAGTGTGTTGTTGTTAGAGAACCAAAGGTTATGGTGGGATGCATACGATTAATTTCTTTCTAAATCGAGGTCTTAGTTGAAGTCCAAAATAGATATCGGCCGGTGGATAAAAAATCCGAAATACAATTTATTTTTATATTTGGATCATGCCAAACACACACTCCCATGGCTAAGCCCAAGCCCAAGCCCAAAGAGTATTTATTGGGCTCCATATCCTTCAGAAATAGTAAGCTAGTATATAAGTTATTAACAAATTATCACTTACCATAATATCCATAAATCGGTATCGTGTGGATGAAATAACGTTTATTGATCACTTTTATCGATGTAAGGGTAGAATCGACCGGGTAAATGAAGTGGTAAAGCAATAAATACTTGAGTTGTATGGTAAAAATGACGCGCCATATTGAGTTCTTTAAAATTATTTAATGTGGTAAACATCGTATTGAAGTTCACTCGCAAGTCTATATATTTGTGTATATAAAGTCGATAATCTTGTTAGATTATATCAAATATATTATTAGATATTTGAAGTCACTTAAAACAACTAAGCTTTAACGAAATTATAACTTTGGACAACTCATTCTAGACAAATTCTATAAGAGGTAATGATGCTTGTGTTGGAGAGTGGGAAGACACTATCGATAAGGAATGACTCTTTTAAGAAAATTATTTTTCTTACATTGATATTTTCATCGAATCATATGTACTGGTCAATATAATTTCGTGTAATCATATATTCTTTGCAACTTACTTTCATATTTCATAAAGAAAATAATTCAAAAACTATAACCAAACAAATCAAAAATATTTTTCTCCGTTTCGAACACCCACTCTAGCTTGTTTGAGAGTAAGCTCACATTATTAGGTTATCCATCCATCAATTTCTAAGTTTAGATTATATAATCTATTAATTTCTTCTTACACCTAAAAACAAAAGTCTATTTTGTTTTTGTTCTCTTAAGCACTAACAAACATCTCTTATTTATTTATAATAATAATTAAATTAATATTTTAAAAAAGGTTTTTCCAGCAAAGCAAATATCTCATTAATCAAAGTTAATTACTCCATTTTAAAAACTATATATTTTAGAAAAAATACATTAAAGAGAAAATAATTCTATTCTTTTAGCTAAAATAGTTTGTTGTCTTTATGAGTTGTTAGCCATTTCATATGATTCACTTATATATGTCTACAATAAATTTCTTAATCCCAAAAGTTATTTATTTTTACGTTTTCGCGATTATTTGTTATTTAATATTTATTTTTGATTTTTAATAAATTTAAACTTTATCGTATAAAGCCCATCATTAGAAGGGGAAATACACCTTATTAAGATATATTTTCTCATTCACATAGATTAAATTTGAGACATCTGATTTGAAAAACGTAATTGAAAGCATCTCTTATTTATTTTGAGAAAGTTGTGTTTTTCTCGAAATATAAATATAGTATTTCTAAGTAAAAGGCATTTTCCCAAAACCTATTTTTAGATTACTTTTTTTTAAAAAAAAATAAGACAAACTTTATCATTTTAGTAAGAAGAAAAAAAAGAAATGCTCTAATTTTAGAAATGATATTTAATTTGAAAGTATATCTACAATTTGAAAATCTTATCTCTTTGTTAAAATTACAAATTTAGCCATTTTTATTTTGTTTATTTCATCCATTAACTATAAGCCTATAATGGATGATGATGATAGTTTCCCACTAGAACACTCTTGGATTATTTATTTTTTTAATTACGTTTATATAATATAGTTTGATTTAATTTAAAATTTAAAAATATTTTTAGAAAAATTATGATTTAAAATAATTTTTGATATTGAATTACTGTGATTATAAGAAAACTTTCAGTATATATTTGTCTTTTATCAAAAGTCTCGATTTTACATTTTTTATTAATATTTTTTTCGTTACCTCTAAATTACTATACATTTTTTAATTTTTCATTTAGTGTTCAATATCTTTATTGAAACTTGACTATTTTATACGGAGGAAAGCTCTCCCTAGCAAAACAATTCACACTCAAATTTAAAAAAATTTAATTAAGAAAAGAGCAACTCCATCCAGATCGTACCCCTAAATTGATATTTCTCATTGACTTTTAGAGTGAACAAAACGTGTAATCACATGGGCTTATAAACTTTTATTTATCTTAAATTCATATAGACATAACGAATATACAGCTCATATGTTCCTATGGACCATACATTTTGGCAAATTTTAATAAACTTTTATTTATCTTAAATTCATATAGACATAACGAATATACAGCTCATATGTTCCTATGGACCATACATTTTGGCAAATTTTAATTAATGCTATTTTTATGGTCTAAAATATTATTTTCGTCTTAATTTACGTGTTATTATTTAATTAAATAATAAAAAAAGTTTAAAAAATTATTATTATTTATGAACTTTAATTTAAAACAGAAGTAGGAAAGAGTAAACATCAAGTTTAGCCATTTCTTAAAATATCAAATTAAAAGCATTTATAATACTAAAAATCAAAGATGCTGACAACTTGTATACCACAACACAACAATAATTGTTTCACTTTTTTTTTTTCTAAAAGAAAGAAAACAAAAATATAGGTTCAATAATTCCGTGCTTCGAATAATATTTTAAGTTGAGTATCTATAAAAAACAGTTTTATTATTCTATAAAAATATAGAAATAAGATTAACATACTACTGAGATCGCATTAAATATATTATTGTTATAAAAAAAAACAATAATATAATGATATATAATAAATTATAACCTGTAATAACAAGATTATGAATTCCCCATTTTTTTCCCTTCCCAATTTTAAATATTTTTTTATAAGAAAAATATACAATTTCATCAACTATAAAGGAACAAAACATTTATTTTAAATAAGAAAAGAGAATTGATCAAGACAAACTTGACGGTCGTTATTTCAAACACTGACGGAGCAATCCCGGGCTAGTTGATACTTAACGGCGTTATTTCCAACCATAACCCCTCCGTAACCGGGCCGATCACCAAGTGGCACGTAAGCAGAGCACGTGACATGCAGATGGTAATGGCCCGTTGTTATGGACCCCACTTTCCATTTTACCCGTCCATCAATCTTAAAATCCAACCAAACGCCACCGTTTTGTTGATCCTCTGACAGGCCCGGCCCGTTATACGGAGCGATCGGGATGTTATTCCCATAAACAAACGGGGACCATATGTTAACATCCTTATGGCCTTGATACACCTGGGGTATTTGCGTGTAATACGTGATTTGTTGATTATGATACGTAGCGTATACATGCATGCTATCATAATAAATTCCGATTTTGCTATTAGGGTTTCGAGCGTATATTGTGGTTTGGATAGAGGTCGAGAAGATGTTTGGGGCGGATACGTTGAAGGTAAAGATAGTTGTGTCTTGGAGAATGAAACGAGGTTTTTTGGGGTGAAGTACGGCCCATACTATGAGGATAGTGAGAAGAGCTAAGAAGAGGAAGATAAGAACTCCAGCACAAATACGTCGAATTAGCTTTTTCTTCTTGCTCTTGTGGTGGCTACACTTTTTATCCGACATGTCGGTGATGGTGGTGGTGATAGTTGTGATGGTCGAGGGAGGAGAGAAAAAAAAGTTGTTTGTGTAGGAGAAATGAGAAGGGAGGGGAGATGGGAAATGATTGACTATATATATATAGAGAGAGGTGTGTAAAGTAGTTGTAGAAAGTGAGTTGTAGCTAGCATTGGTAAAGGGGGTACTAATATGTCAAATTCCTCCCACTTTCTTACCAAAGCATGGCCCCCACATGTATACATATAATACATTATAATAAAACGATATATGAAAAATAGATGCTCAATTTGTAACGTTCAATAAATTTATAGTGTGATGACTATAATTTTGAAATAAGGTGATAAATATGGACAAGGTTATATATATATACACGCTCAATTTATGTAGCATTTTTTTAAAATTTTGTAGGACGAGTTTTCTTTTATTGCAATTTTTATGTACCTTTTGATTATATATGTAATTTTCAAACACATAAAAGTCTGTTTAAAAAAATTTAAAATTTCTTGTGCAATAGATAAAGTTATCTAATGAATTAAAATATTCTAATGCAATTAGTTGAATAACTTATCCAATCATTGTAGTATAAATTAAAAGATAAATAATCTTGAAACTATTTAATATGCCTAGTTAATTGCATGACAAAATAATTCTTACATTTATTTTTAAATGATTATCTTTAATTTCTTTTATCTTACGACACCTTAGTGTTTGATTTACAATATTAAAATAATATCATATAAATTGAGACGATAAAATATATATAAGTTAAAACTTAAATGTATTTTTTTGTGTTATATCTTTTTTGGGTTTGACTATTTATATTAATTTAGTTGTAAGTTTCAAATGAAGCTTTAAGCAATTTCGAGAATTAATTGCTTTATCGAATTTACATAAAGTTGTGAGAATTACTTATTATGAAAAAAGTTGTGTGAATTATCTTTTATTTAATTACTATTAACTTGTCGGCTTGGTGTTTGAAATTAAAAATTATTAACAGATAAAAACAATAATAATTAATAATTTATAAAATAATATTTTATAAAAATAAATTATTTAATTCTCGAAATTTGAACATTATTATATGATAATTAATTTTGTTTTGGGATCCAAGAGACGTATTATGCGGGAATAATATTTTATATAGATAGGCTATTTTTTTTAATTTGGTCAATGCTAATTAATGATAATAAAAAAATTAATCTAGGTTTTGTACAAAATGAATTTAAACTTTGCACTAAATATGATGCACCATCATAGGAGATCTAATCAGAGGTTATGTACTTTTCATATATAAAGTAAAAAAAAAATACTTTTAAGAATTTTTAAAAGTATTTTTAAACGATTTATTATATTTATTTTAAAATTTGATTAATTCGTATTCTAAATTATTTACTTTGGGTGTAATTTTCTCCCGATCACTTTATCCAAGATGATTTTCATTTTCGGATAAACACATGAAGAATTTTTAAAATAATTAATATATACGATATATACAGGTGAAATTAAGATCGTTTGATTAATGATAGTATTACATTATTTTAACTTCATCGCATTTATATGGTTTGAATCTGAGTTTTCTCATTGATATTGCATCATTTTGACTCCACCTCTATTTGTTAAATACGATATTAATAAATAATCATTTTATTTTTAGAAAAATAGGCATGTACACTACAATTTTTTAAAAGATATTAATGAATAATCATATGTTTTATTTTTTTATTTTTTTTAAAAAACCAAATTATTTATGCATATATACTACAACTTTTTTTAAATTGTCTATATATATATATATATATATCTATTATCCATTGTTTTATTTGTCCTATAAATTCTCATTCTAATCCTCAAAAAAGAATATATTACCCACTTTATGTGATATTTTTAAACTTAGAAAGTAGGGAACATATTCCCTCAAAATTAAAGATTATATGCTAGGACTTTATAAATCTTTAATCTAACTAGTAAGTTATCTCCCCCACCTCCCACCCCCATCTAAAAAAAAACGATATCACAAATAATATGATGTAGACAGTTTATTTTTATTCTGATATAAGTTTAATTAATTTTTTATATTGTTTAAATTTGTGATTTATATATAATATATGATGAATTTCACTTGAATTCTTCGCATATTTATTTTTTCATATTCTGAACTCCCTTAATATAATCGTTCCAAAGCTTCCCTTCAATTAATATTTATATACATAATTACCTAAAATTAGTTGAACACTTTTCTCAAAGAATTTTTTTTTTTAAAAAAAAGTTAGGCATTAGGTATGCATGTGTAGTGATTCTTTTTAACTTTTACTTTCATTTTTCTTTTGTTATTTTATCAGAAATGATTAGTAACAAATGTTTAAATTAATTAGTATGAAAAAAAAACAGTAAATGATACGTTTTAGGTGGCCAAAATAATAGGGAGAAAGTTCATCCAACTCACCCACCGACGACTATTCTATATATTTTTTTTTTATGTCGATAATACGTTACTGATATTGTTCGTTTTAAATATAAATTCGTATAATTTAGAGAATTAGAGCCTGTTTAGATGAGCTTAATAAAAGTAGCTTTAAAAAAGTACTTTTGAAAGTGCTGAAACTTATTTTTAAAATAAGCAGCTATGTGTTTGGATAAAAGTGCTGAAGTTGCTATGCCAAACGTGAAAAGGGAAAAATGGAAGAAAGAGATGTTAGGGTTATGTGGATAATTTGGAGATTATATAAAAATATTAAGGACAAAAAGATAAAAATATGGTCAACTTAAAACAGCTTATAAGCTAAAAAAAAAAAAACACCCCTACCCAACTTTTAACTTTTTGCTTAAAATAATTTTTTTTTTAACTTAAAATAAGTTATTTTGAGTATTGCCAAACAGCTAAATAAGTCAAAAATCAATTTTTAAGTCAGTTTGACCAGCTTTTAAGTTGAGCCAAACATGCTCTTACTCTTTGTTTTTTCTTATGATCATTTAAATTTAGTTATACTTCAATCTACTATTAACGAGGCTTACATAAAAATAATTTTGATACTCTTTGTAATTAACCAAGTACCAACCCATTAATGATGTTATATGTTCTAAATATTGACTCATACGGCTTTAAAATACGCTATTATCTTAAATTAGGATGTCACGTAACTTATTTAAATTTGAAACGTATTATAGTCGTTGAAAAAATTATTTCTTATTTTTAAAAAAATTGCATTTAAAATTTGGATTCAAAAGCTTTTTAACTAAAAATAATTTTACAAAGTTATATTATTATTTTGAATTATATATTAATCTATTAAATCTTCCTAACATAAGAGATAATTCTAGTTAATTTGACGTTACAAAGTTGTATTAACATTTTCAACAATGGGGTCTAAATAATAATATGACAGATGGAAGTATTACAAATTTATAAAGTTTTATAATTATTTTACCATCTCAAATTAATATAATAATAATAATAATAATTAATTATATTATAAAATATTTTTACATTTTATTTATATTTTCTTAGCATGAAGGAAAAGTCCAATATGTTATTGATTGGAGATGTTAACATTTCAACTATGATGACAATGAAATTTGTGGAGGAGCGTAGTAATGTTAATAATATGTAAAATTAATAAAAAAAAGAGTCACTTTCAATTTGTATAATTAAAACATAATTACTATGCTAAAATTTTTGTTTTTAAAAATAATTTAAAATAGAAAATAAGATAGTCTTTAAAGTTTTTCTTTTTGTTTTTTCATTCGGTGTCGGAAGTCCACATTAAAGCTCCGATTAAATTTCAATTGCGTTCTGCATGGCCCATTTAAGAATGGCACTCCCAACAAAAAATTTCTGCATCCTGAAGACTCGAACCAAAGACCTCTAGTTAAGGTGAAATAGTCACACCAGTGCACCACAACCTACGTTAATTATATTTTAAAGTAAATTGAAACTTCAAAGTATAGTGACTTATTTTCAAATACGAATTGCGCGATGACTATTGTTACATCAATAACTTCAATATTAATGTTGTCATGGAGTTTTTCTTGTTGAATTTGAGACTTTAGGAGTCACCATACTATAATATTTTTAAAATAACTTTTTTTTAATCTGTTTAATTAATCTTATATCATATGGATTAAAATATAAGTTGTAAGAAAGGAAATAAAAGAGAAGACTTAAAAGAAGAAGAGTCAAATTGGTATGTTATTATATATATATATATATATATATATATATAT